AAAATTAGTATTTCTGTAAAACATTGTTATCATTTAAATATGGCTTTGCATTTTTACTCGTCACTTGTAAAAATCTATCCATTTGTACATCTTTCATCAATTCAGCCACTTATTCCTTCCTTCCTTCCTTCCTTCCTTCCTTCCTTCCTTCCTTCCTTCCTTTCCTCCTTCCTTCCTTCGGTCATTCATTCATTTGTCTGTTTATCCATCTTTTTTTGTCCATCCGTTGATTGGTTCATTTGTTCGTTCATTCATTCATACAGAGTTAAGAACCATTCTAACATTTTTCTCTGACAATTTATCTTAGATATTTATTTAACTGTGGAGAAGGTACTCAAAGACTCTTTAATGAAAACAAACTCAGACTAAGCAAGCTTAACAACATATTTTTTACTCAAATCTCATGGGAATACATTGGAGGGTTACCTGGAATGGCAATGACGCTAAGAGACAATGGCCGAGCAAATCTTGGTCTATATGGACCAGAAAGTATCAAAGAGTTTATCGGAGCTACGCGGTTCTTTTTATTTCATGAAAAACTTCATTTTGATTGTGTTGGCTATGGTACTGATGAAAATCAAGATGTTCCTGTATATAGTGATGAAAACATGGCAATTTTTCCAGTTCTTCTGTCAGGTAAAATGATGATGATGGCAATGGTGATGATGATGGTGATGATGATGGTGATGATGGTGATGGTGATGATGGTGATGGTGATGATGATGATGATGATGATGATGATGAAATTGTATTTCTTAGAGACTCACATGATGGTTTTTACGGAGGGAGGATACCAGAGAACCCGGAGAAAACCTTCATAGCATAGGAGAGAACAACACATCAAACAAACTCAATTCACATGTGGCGACCGCAGGGCTCAAACCAGTGACCCGACTGTTGATCTTACGTCGGTGAAAGATGACACATTAGCAGCCTACACCACCCATGCCACCGATGATGATGATGATGATGATGATGATGATGATGATGATGGTGGTGGTGGTGATGATGATGATGATGATGATGGTGGTGATGGTGGTGAATATAAATAATAAAAAATTCTTCAATTAACACCTGCTTTGTATGAGTTAATTAAATTTCTATCATAACGAATTACTAAAAGATATCAATATTGATGATGAAGAGAAATATGTAGAGGAATAATATAATTATGTTCTTTTAGTATAATCTATTTTAGACATGAATGATACTGAGTTTTGCCTAACAAACATGCAACAGCTTTCCTTCATGGATTCTGAGTCATTGCTGCATTTTCTATGGCATAGGATGAATTCTATTTTCTTTTCTTTTTTTTTTTTTCAGAAGAAAGTAAATGTCTCACTTTTAAGGATGAACAAAATGAGAACTTACCAAAAAGAGTTAAACTTGACACTTCTACAACCAAATCCATTGCCTGTTATATCTGCAAACTAGCGACATTACCAGGGAAGTTTCTGGTGCAGAAGGCTAAAGAATTAGGTGTCCCTAAAGGACCTTTGTTTGGGAAGCTTAAAGATGGAGAAGATATTACCCTTGAGAATGGAGTCAAGGTATCACATTTATGAAGTTTATACGTAGATGTCGTCAAATTACGTGTGTCAGTTATTTTAGGCTCTGCTAGATGCAAAGCTGAAATGAATTCTTTGTTTGTTAATGATATTAGGTCCTAGCAGCACAAGTAAAAGAACCAGACCAGGAGGGACCTGTGTTTTTCATTATCGACTGTCCTTCTATCAAGCATATCACAAGTTTAGTGGAATCAGAACACTTTGTCAAATACCAAGAAGAACATCAAGATGGGAGTCAGCTACATGTACAACCCTGTCTGATTGTACATCTTGTACCAATGGATGTCTTTAACGACTGCCGTTATGAAAAGTGGAGACAAAGGTACTGCACTGCTGTTTACTTTATGGATTGTTAGAGCAGTTTTCATATGAGACTGAAAAAGTGTGTGTCATATGCGTGCCTTACAGCGACAATGATCTTTTCTTACTAGAATTCTAATCACCAAATTTTTTTCTCAAATAATATAGCTTGGTCTGGCAGTGACATTTATTTTAAGGCTTGACCATGTCCGCTACAAGTTCATGCCGTGTTTTAGGCATTTGATTGGATGGAGAGTAAATTCTTATGCAATGTGATTGGTCTGGCATACATGTACATGCCTTGCCATGTCACGACCGTGCTGGTGCCTTGAGCTTTTCACAGACATACAAAACCTGCTCTATCATGGCAGTGCTGTAGTAGAAAATGACCAATGAAATGCTTTAGCTTGACAAGTAGGCATTTCATTTCCTCAAGAAGAACATTTTCTTTTGTTTAGCCTCTTAAAATGGCTGCAGTAAATGCCAGCTTATATTAGTAAATCTGAAATGATCATGACTAATAGATTGATACCAACCACTGTCTTGTCTAGTATATATTGTCTAGTATCTCTTAATCAAAACATGCATTATTTTTCAGTTCAAAAGCCACCATTTTCAATAAAACTATGCCTCCAAGATGGCTGCGGCTAGTTTTTGAGTTTGATGTCATGTAAACAGACAGTATACAACAATCTTTTCATTTAGTGTGCTAGCACATGTTTTTCCTATTTTTTAATTATCACTGTTTTGTATCTTGGTAGATTTGGTAGCACAACTCAACATCTACTTATTAATAAAGAAGCATGTAGCAAAGCCATAGTTTTCCAATCACAGGCAAGAATTGAAGCACAACTCCATACTATCTATGCTGGGATGTTTCCCCTCCTTCACTATACAGACACACCTGTAAGTATACTAGATTATTGAGGAGAGAGGGGGGGGGGGGCACTGAAGAATTAAGAGCTCGGGTTTATAGAGGGGGCAAGGGCTACTCCCACATATAAGCGGCAGGGTTGTCCAGGTCTTGTCCATGTTGGTATGGCAACTTTTTTTCTTAATTAATTTTTTAAATATTCAATATTTTTTTAATATTTACAGTATTGAAATTTATCATATCAACCGTTGAGTGTCATATTTCCCTGTGATTTACTCTAACTTTATTTGGTAAAAAAGTCGAGTTGATTTCCAAAAAGGGTAGATCAATCGATGTTTAATAGGTTTCTCGGATTTTTGAGAGAGATTTCTGCAGCTAACGACAGATAGAAAGCTCTTTCTACATCAACTACTACCAAATATGGAATTGATCATACCATATATGGAGTGAGCTTTCTCTACTCCAACTTGGACACTAACATATGTTTATTTATTTAAATTCATATTTTAACAGGAAGCTTCTTCTGATCACTAATAAATGTGATTTTCAAGAAGGTCCTGATAAATAAGATATTTTGACAATAAATAAATGTAAAAAGAGAATTTGGAGGTTGTTCAATATCGAAACCAGCTCGTTACTGAAAAGTCAACATCATTATTACTAGTATGTAAAAATGTAAAAGTTCAGATTATTTAGGTTTACAGGTTTAAAAGAAATTCGATTTAAAATGGCTAATCATTCTTAGAACACTGTTTAAGTGTGTCACTCAGATTGTTCCATCCTTGCATGGCTTGATACTGCATTGTTTGTTTTCCCCAGTAAATGGCAAATAATGTTTTTACAATTATCCACAAGTGCTAACTGATGTTTTTTCTGTAATTTCACGTCCCCAGACAATAGATTCAAGCACTTTGCCAGCCAACACCAAGCCTGGAGAATTCTTTCTCAAATTTCACCTCAGACCTTTAAAACAGCAAGGCTATGACAGAAGTGGCATGCAAGATCCTCTTGATTTTAAAACAATTATGAAAAAAACTACTCAATTACTTCAAAGTATTGGGAAAACTGAACACCATTTAGTGACAGAGGAAAATACAGCACGAAATGATACAAGAAAAGATGATTGTCACCCTGAAATAGAAAAATACTCGCTTCAAAAACTCAGAGACAAAGATATTGCAGAAAATGTTTCTGAAATTTTATTGGACGAAAATGCAATAACAACAGAAGTAAGCTCTTTGTTTGATAAATGTGTAGATGATGGCAATGTTACAGTTTGTGAACCCAGGAAGCAACAAGACTTTGAGATAATATTCCTAGGTACAGGAGCATCATTGCCTTCTAAATATAGGAATGTTAGTGCAACATTGATTAATGTAAGGTAAGGATATGTGCATGCTTGTCATTCATGATTTATAGATTTGCATAGGTTCTGAGCAAGGCAGACATGAATTTGTTGATTGGTCTTCCTGTGGTAGTGACGTGTGCTGATGAACGTGGGTTTCCGGGAAAAATACATGTAGCATTGGCTCAAGTAAATATCAAAGATGGCGGTGTACATTTATTTGTATCATCCACCATATTTGTTTACTTATGAGTCCATGCGACTTTTAAGAAAATACCACAGGAAGACCAATCAATTAAATTATATACCACAGGAAGACCAATAAGCAAATTTATTTCTGCAATGCTTTCTTGGTTTTGACAGCCAATAGACCAGTTTCGAATTCCAAATTACAGACTTATTTACACAGGGTTAGCCTGGTATCAGTGTTTAAATATTCACAAATACCAACGGTAAAGCAAAGAATGCACAACTTCAACAATACAAACACTTTGAAACTCGACGGGCCTTGACTGGAACACGTGAATATTCTTCACAAACTCGAGGCTAACCCTGTGCAAATGAGTCTGTAATCAAGAAACACAGTGGTCATTTGGAATTCAAAACAGGTCTATTCCAAATTCATTAGAATACTAATAGTTATACACCTAATCAAAATATGGCAAACAAATTTGAATAACTATTGTTTTGGACTGACCAGCCTCGTGTGCACATTGAGCCAATAGCATTTTCACATGTTAGTTAGTCCAGAACAATAGTTATTCAAATTGGTCATCATAATTTGATTAGGTTTCTAGATACACCTATTTCAAAAAAGGTTCTCACAGCCAGTCTTGGAATGAATGGAGTTACGGGTAATTAGTCGTTTAAAACAACTAAACAAAATGTCATCCATGGCTAATTTTTTTAGTCAGACAACCTCTTGGAAATATTAGGTGTAAGAATGAGAAGTTAGGAAAAATTACTGGATCTGTATGACCAAACCCCCTTCACTTGGAAAAATATCATTATTAATATGTATATGTAATAGGACTCCATGCTGTCCAATTAAGAAATAATTGGACGAGGAAAATTCTGAGGACTGACAAAATTGGATGGGGCCGTAGGCTGAGTCCAATTTGGCAGTCAGAGGAATGTTTTCGAGTCTAATTATTTCTTGATTGGGGAGCATGAAATCCCATTACCTATTAATTATATAGCTGCCTAATTAATCCCATATCAACAATACCTGTCCAATTAAGCAAATAATTGGACAGTTACCTATATGGGATTAATGAGAAGCTGTATGATTATATTTTTAATACTTCATTAACTTTTATTATTAAAAATTATTTGCAGTTGTCAATCATCCCTTCTTCTTGACTGTGGTGAAGGGACACTTGGGCAACTTTATCGTCACTATGGCAACGATATGGATGACATCATTGATCAATTAAAGTGTGTGTTCATTTCTCACATGCATGCAGACCATCATTTGGTAGGTGATAACTAGTGCATAGTGACGTCATATGACTACAACTACCAGAATTCTTTGCGTTTTTAGTTCCTGTACTCTTATTTTGGTGTCAAATATTAGTCTCATTTGTCATCTGCTAAATGCTGTTGCATTCGTCGATTGCACACTCATTGCAAATCATTCACGAAATTCAGCTGTAATATAAAGATTGTGTTATTTGAACAATTCTTCGACTGCACGTTGTGTCATCGCAGTCCTTTGGGGAAGCATTGGTGCATTTAACAAAATATTTCTCATTAGCGTCAATTGTTAACATCACCAAAATGGCCACCATGCTTTTGTCTTTTGACTCTCTTGGGAATGCTTGTAACCAATCAATACATATAGTTTAAAATACCACGGATTTGTGATGGTATTATCTAGGAAACGACACAGACATTTGTTGGTATCTATGAATAGCTGACTTATTAACAAGGTTAATTTTTTTTTTAATTCCAGGGTTTACTGCGCATCCTGCTTTACAAAGACAAGCATAAACACGTAAGTATTACTGTGCAGGCACGCTGAGTCTAAGCCAATCAGAAAAGAGCAAAATCAGTAACACATTGACCTCAGCCAATCACAATCTCTCATTCCCATGATTGATGATAACATGATCGGCCCAGAGGTTATTTCAGAGATCTATCTGTGAGTTAACTGTGCCCTGACTTAGATCAGCCCAGAGGTTGTTTGGGGGTTCTATCTGTGAGTTAACCGTGCCCTGACTTAGATCAGCCCAGAGGTTGTTTGAGGGTTCTATCTGTGAGTTAGCCATGCCCTGACTTAGATCAGCTCAGAGGTTGTTTGAGGGTTCTATCTGCGAGTTAGCCATGCCCTGACTTAGATCA